TCTGTGTTGCTGTTTGTTGTTGTGTTGTAGTGGTTTTTTTGTTTTCGGGGCATTTGAGGCTTGGTGTTCATTCGGTGGTGGTGTGGTGCTGGTCTTGTTCGTGGTGGTCTAATTGTGGAACAAGTGCTGTGGTGAGGTATTCGGTTTTGTGTTTCTTGTATTGGTGGTGTTGTGTTGGCGGTGATCGTTTTATATGTATGTGTTGAACTTTTTTTGTTTTGTTGTGTTCGTAGAACAGGCTTCCCGCATTCAGAGCTTTCTAATATCAGGACCCATGCCAACCATGCTAGTGACTTAACTCGGAGATGCTTAGACTTGGAGGCATTTCTTTTATTTAACCGAGCACCCTTTGCACAATACACACCCTAAACTGGTCCACATTCTTCTGTCGCTCGCTTATACACAACTCTGTTGGTTGCTAGCCTATACACAACACTAGCCATCAAACACTGACAGTGCTGAACCGAGACTGCCAACTACTGTACTGTCTAGCAGCGCAATATCGAGTGAAGACGACAGCGACCATGGCGACGATCTTCAACAGCATGACGGGTATCCCACTACAAATGACAGCCCCGAGCTCTTGCTCAGGGCCCCCTTTTATGCTCCCAGCGTGGTCTCGCTCCGCTCCGGCCATGCCCTCTGTTTAGAACCTACCAGCGGGTTCCCGGGGCTTCCCCCTGTGCCCCTTCTGTAACCTTTCCCCCAGATATCCCCCTCTGGTGTATCACCTAGCCTGTTGTATACCAAATATCCCCTTCACCGCCAGCAGCTAGCGCTATACTGCTAAATTAATTATTCCATGCCACTACACATTGATGTCAGTATTTTGATATTTGTATTCACCTGCATACACTATACCACAATTACATTGGTGTGTGTGTGTACCTGTGCATATGCAGGTATGTTAACCAGCATTTGTATATTTTACATATTACAAATGCATGATCACAGACTTGTACAGGAATGCTTTAACAAAATAAACTAATTTAGATCCATTTGGAAATCCACTGTTGTATGAAGACCTCCCCACGCTATGTCGGCCCTAGATCACTATACTTCACCTCACTGGTCAAGACCAGTTCAGATAACCGCTTGCCTCTGATGTCAGCCATGGCCAGAAATCGAACCAAGGTCACCAAATTAATTGCGAAGTGAACTAACCAATTTAGCACTGCCCAACTCCTTACATTTCTATATGACGTAGATTACTTTATTTATCCAATGTGAGATCAAAGAAGCACGGGGAGGCGACAGACAAATAGGAATAGATGGATCGAAGACCGACATAGAAAAAGAGGCGTTTATTTTTCGATTTAAAGTTTTCGTGACTGCAGGGATTCATCTTCTTGGTTCTTTCTCCGTTGTCCTTTATTTGGGTTCGTGTAAACATCGCTCCCACGGCGTCCTCGCTCAGGCCTGCGTCTCCTCCGTCGAGCACTCCGCAGCCACACTCCTGCTCCGCCCTGAAGCCACCCTGCTGCTCCGATCTGCAGCCACCCTACTGCTCCGCTCTGCAGCCACACTGCTGCTCCGCTCTGCAGCCACACTGCTGCTCCGCTCTGCAGCCACACTGCTGCTCCGCTCTGCAGCCACACCTCTGCTCCGCTCCTCCTCGCTCACGGCCAGCCTTTCACAGCCCGCTAGCCCCCCTGCGCCCGGACACCGATGGCAGACGGTGCCGAGGTCTCCCAACACGTGGCGATCACGCCACCCTCCCAGTACTGCCCAGCGTGGCCTCCTCCCGTTTCACTCCGTCTTAACTTCCCGATCCCTTCCGGTTCTCTCCCTAAATCCTCTCCCTCACGTGACCCTAATTCCTCCCTCTCCTCACGTGACCCAGACTCCGCCCACCTCAATCCTTGCTCGCATTACATGTCAATGGGAGAGCGGTAGCAGGAAACTTGCAGTGGAGCAAAGACTCCGATCTGTGAAGAGAAAACATAAGCTATATCGTCAATGCCAGCGAATGTAATGCGGTCTGAAAGTCACTGTAAACATGAACACAATTGTAATAAAGGTCGTTGAAGCTACTTCTGGAATCCGGTCTTTATTCGTCTTTCATTACAACACTCCTTCACGCTCCTGACAGACAGCATGAGAGGGATAGAAAGAGAGAGACGCGCGCAGCCACGTGGCAGCCTGGACCCCCGCTCTCGCGTGGCCTCTTCCCTTCCTTCGTTCCAGTTCTAACCACGTGTTGTTCGTCTCCACCCCTATTTGATACCCGGGTCACGTGGTACGTTTCCACCAATCCTGGTTAGCCTCTATGGAATCTTCCAGACTCCACCGTAGGCTCCCGGGACCACGCCCCTGACTCATCTCCCCATTGGCTGTGGCTAAATCCAGCAGAACCAATCCTCTACTTACAGCTGTCACCTTTCCATTACGTCAGGGCCACGCCCCTAGGCTTTTCCCCATTGGCTATGGACCAGGACTGGCAGAGCCAATCATCGTGACGAGTTGTGATCCGTCAACGACCCGGAGATATCCTCACATTACACAATCAATCAAGACCCGAAATGGTTTATCACGTCCTTCCAATGATTGCTGAGCCAGAATCCATCTGCTCAGTTGAAATTGTCTCTGTGTTTGTATATGTCGATGGCCTCATGAACGAATCTCTCATGGTAGCCGGATGGCTTGCAGAGAACCTCCGTCTTGGAGAAGTCAATGTCAGCTTTAAATCGAATAGGTCCAAGACATGTCGCTTAGTTTCCCCAATGTAACTGCTGCCGAAGATACAGCTTAGTTTGGAGACGCCGGGATATTGCATGTCAAGGATTTTGTCCTTCACAGATGGGATTAGATCACGAATTTTATGTCCTGTGTTAAATCGGACCTGGATCTTGTGTTCATGATCGGAAATATTTTTGGTTACCCCTGCTATGTATTGCAAGATGAGGGTTTTGATTGGATCCTCAGATGGCTTCTTCCTCTTGGTTGGGGTGATGGCTTTGCGTATTGTGTGGTCAGAATATCAATTCGCCTTGAGAGCTTGGTGTACGTGTTTGAGTTCACTGGTTATGTGTTCATGGTCGGAGATACATTGAGCTCTATGGTGTAGCGTTTTGATGAGGGAATTCTTCTGGGATGGATGGTGGTGGGAGTCAAGTTTTAGGTAGGCATCAGTATGGGTTACTTTCCTGTAGACAAAATGGCTCATTGAGCTATCTGGTCTCTTTTTGATTAGGACATCCAAGAAAGGTAGCTTGCCATCCTTTTCTACCTCCATGGTGGACAGCTCTGAGTCGACAGCGAGCTGCGTGTTCCCAGCACACTGCAGCAGTGGATGGAGCCTACTAATCAACGCTCCCTGGTGGGACTTGAGATATTTTCGGATACGGAGGAGACGGAAGACGAACACTGACTCCTAAACGCACCCACCACGTGACCACACTGCTTACAGTTCGTGACGCCACCTCATGCAAGGATCGCAGGAGAACGAACTCACATCACTATATATCATAACTGGTGGACCATGTATCATGATTGCCACCCTGATACACAAATTAACGGCACGCATATCGCGATCCGGTTGAATATTACCGTTTTGAGATATTCGCTGTTTTTTTTAATCGCATAATCTTGCTAATTTGATCGTTGATGTTCGTCTAATCATTGTGTAGCATCGGAAATACGTTTGCACACACCGCTTATGTGCACTTACCTGCAGTTACGGCCAGGGGTCTGTAGGGGGTGCCAGCCAGTACAAGAGGATAGAAAGAGAGCCGGACCACAGAGAGGCCGGATTCCCCTCCCCTACCCCAGGTGAGGGGCTGGGGGGGGCCTTTCCAGGACCCATCAGAAGGTTCCAGAAAGGGGGCGGAGAGTCTCTCAGGTCGGCTTGGGGGAGTGGTACGAAGACGAAGACTGAAGACCAGCTAGGCGAGGACCCTGGAACCCCGGGACCCGACGTCCTTATAAGGGCCGGGGCCGAGCGTGGACCAGTGGTCAGGACCCGCACCTTGGCTGGGTCGGGTCAGTCAGTCTCCCCTAGGTCACCCCTAGCCAGAGGGCTCTAGATTACCCCAAGTGATATAGGCCTTATAGGGCACGTTAGCCCAGAGGCTGTACCTCCTTAATGAGCGGGGTAAAGGGGGTATCGTGTTACATTGTTATAAATAAAGTGTTGCCTCTAAGTTACGTTGTAAGTCTCCTGGAAAGCTTCAAATCAAGTTTGAACCAACTCTACGGGGAGAATATAAGTTTGTCTTCTCTCTCTGTGTGTCAATGTCAAATTTCACACTTAACTTCTAATTTATCCATCTCTGGAGAATGTAATCAACCAGGCTACGTGTTAACTGTGTGTTAGCCGACTCTCTGCGTTGCATTGCATTACATTTCCAAAAAAATTGCTAAGTTTGTTTTCTGAAACTGCCTATTTCTCAATCAAATTACCCAGGCTCTCATAGGTCCATTCGCTCTTTCCCTACCCTGGCCGCTTCGGGGTTGGTTTCCACACAACTCTCTCTAAAATATACCAGTCTTGACCAGACTTGCTGGGTCTTTCTCTCCCCCTCCCGCTGCGGGGTGGATTTCCACACAGCTCTCTCATTAACATGCTAATTCCTCTGCTCCAGCAGACCCACATCTCTCTGCCCCCTCTCTCTATTTAAGGCCACGACACAGAGGCATTGGGTCTCTGTCTGTCTATGTTGTGTGTCTCTCTCTCTGTGTGTCTCGGTGTCTGTGTTTTGTCTCTCTCTCAAGTTTAGTTCTACTTGTTGACGGTTGCTTGTGTTGTAATCGAAACGTCGTATTCTATTATTTAATTTATTTTCTTTCTACGTGGCTTTACCGAAAGAACCAGAGTAATTCCTGCAGTTACAAAAGCTTCAAATCAAGTTTAATCCCACTTAAATACAAATATTAACACATTTTACATAAATGTTCACATTTTTATATTTAATATTTACATTTCTTATCACAATATATACAACAATTCCCATTCACAACCAACATCAGCGACATCGGGAATCAAGGCAAGTGAAGTTAAAACTGATTTTTCTTTATATTTACCAGCATATTTTTGGTATGTTATGTACACTACAATATTTATCTATATATATAAAAGGAAAATTTGTGAATATGTGTCTGTCTGAAATGTTTATCATACTTCCCGACATGCAACACACTTGAAATTTGGCATATGGGTAGCTTCCAGACTGTATTAATCCCAGACGAGAATCCAAGTCTCGGGCGAAGCCGGGTAGTAAAGCTAGTTACAGTATCAAATGCCAATGTACAATATTTCCTATGAGTTTAACAATGTTTCCCTTTTTAAAACGGTAAAAAATTTATAGCAATGAGTTACGTGCATTTAAATATAATACATTTTTGACGACCGACTTATAAAACCGTTCGACTTATGAACAGGTCCCAGGAATGAAACCTGTTTATAAGTCGAGGGCTGCCCATATATTTTACAATATTAAAAAAATTTAATCCCCCTCTCCACTTCTGCCACAACCACAGACCAAATTAATAAGAGCGCGTCCGATCCGACGCAATCTCTTGCAGATGGTTAGTGATTTGGATTTGGGGATCTGCATTTTATCTGCACTGTTCATGTCACTCTGCACCATGGCTTGCTTTTGTTCAGCATCGTGAGGCTTAGAGTCTGCCTTGACCGTGCTCTCGGACTCCAGGAGAGGGTTAACAGTGTAGTCTGCGTTTATAGGCAGAGACAATGTGGAGCCCATGCTCGTCTCGGCTCCATTTTGGGTCGTCTCGGCTCCATTTTGGGTCGTCTCGGCTCCCTTTTGGGTCGTCTCGGCTCCATTTTGGGTCGTCTCGGCTCCCTTTTGGGTCGTCTCGGCTCCATTTTGGGTCGTCTCATCGATTGCCTCAATTGAAATAGGATATTCCTCAACATTCAGAGGCTTGATGTCCACATTAATTATGGTCTCCGACTCTGGGAGACAGTCAGAAATTGATGCTGTAAGAGACACAGTAGTGTTAAAATCTTCCACCTGAATGCTGCATTTTGTGGTGGATGTTGAGCTAGTGGCTGTAGGCATCTCCCATTCCAAAATGGTTTCGATAAAAGACCCAATAGAGATAGAAACCAGGAAGGCGTCAGTGCTTGGCTGAATGAAGGGGATTGGAACGGCGGCTGGAGGTGGAAGGGAAATGAAACTGGACACCTTAGGAGCCAAAATGGCAATTGCCACTCCGGAAAAGCTGCTGCAAAATGATGAGACTGGAATTTGTCCAGGAGAAGTAAGTTGTGGAATTGAGGGAAGGTGGCAAGGTGCTGGAGCCAGGATGGAGGAGTTATTGGGGTCCGAGTCCAGGAAGCATATTTTGTAGGGGTCCATTGTCGTGGAAGTGAAGTTGTTGGAGTCCAGAGTTGCGAAGGCCTTGGTTGACGGAGCCAGATGGGAGTTGATCTTGCATGCCGGTGCCTGGTGAAATCCAGGTGGTGGAGCTGGAGCTGCACTCATCCATGGCTGCATGAGAGCACTTTCCGGAGTTAGGCGGTCATCTGGGTTCCAGCTGAAAACAAAGAGACAAGTACCGATGAGAAGATCAGCAAAATATACATGCCCACATTACACATTATGGTGATACAATGAACTGACATCCACTTGACAAAGTAAGGGTTTGCAGGTAAGTGAAGTTAAGTATGGTAAGTCCTCGCTCAAAGTGTGCTTACACAACGCGTTATCGCGAAAATACATTTCTTCCATTTGGGAACGGGCTTTCCGAGTGCTTCACGCCAAATTACTTTATTCAGCTGCGTGGCTGAGCAATATCGGAATTCTGGGTTTCCGCGCGGAATTATATAATGATATAGTACGCGTTGGCATACCCTCACAGTTCCTTTTTTCGCCATGGGATGACTGCAGGCTAATTTAATAGTGAAAATGTGCAAATGTGCATGGTTTTTATTTGTTATCTCTGTAATGTGTTAACGGTAATTCCTCACTAAATGCATTTTTTCTGAATGCAACACTTTTCATAAACGCATCTACTACCGCGTTAAATGAGATGCAGACTTGCTATACTTTGCAAAGGGGATGCGTATTTCCTTATGATATAGAAACTGACTTGAATTTGTTAAAGTTGAGGGAAAGTCAAAGAGTGGGATTCTCACCATAGGATGGACCTGATGAAGTCCAGGAACAATGGGTCTCTTGTTTTCAGAAACTCCTTGAGCGGGCAACACTGAGGGGTCTCCTGCAGACATTCCTCGGTGAGTTGCCCAAAGAAGTCTGCAGTGAGTACAATCGCAAATGATGTCATGCATTAGAATATTATTCATGTGTACAAGGCTGTGTTCTATAATTAAGGCTGTGAAGGACGTGGGGGAAACAACCCAACTTTCACGTCATTGTGCAGCCAGATGAGTGATGTTATAACACCGAATCACGTATTAAAAATTAAATTAGCATTACTCACGGAAATACCGATGACCGTCTGGTGCAGCGTGCAGCATCTTTAAGGGTGGTGTTCCCACAATCTGAAAATAAACGATACATTTTTCTTTACGTATTTACATGCATGGTTTGTATCCTATTGATTCAATTATTAATAATTGAGTAAACACTTGAAGTCACGTTAAACTAAGCAGTAAGTTAACTCAAAGTAAAACGATCACTGAGGCAGTGATCATCGCCTGGCTGCGCCTTGAGTGAATAGTAAAACTCTGCATTCCTACGGCAACGGCGAATCTACTTCTATGTCAACCAATGTCGACTTCCCCAAAAAGTGGCACTCATTTAATCGACACTGGAGGGCTGAATAAACTCACAACGTTGCGATTGCGAGCCAATTACTCAACCGCTGAGCCAACATAGAACTGCAACAACCAATCAAACATGAAACACTTTCCGTAATAAAATAGTTAAATCAATTAATTACGAAACGAATCTTACCTTTGTGATCCCAGCAACCTCCTCATTTCTGTTGGTTCTTGGCAGCAGTCGTTTCCCAACAGAGATCTCGGCCAGTATGCAGCCTGCAGCCCACATGTCAACTGCTGTTCCGAACGGCAGGGCCAGCAAGACCTCGGGAGCCTGGTATCCAGGCGTCCCAAAGATATGGTCGGCTGGAGAAAAAATAAGAATACAGTACAGGTCTTTCATAGCTAATGCAACTTTTAAGTCTATGTCACTCTGCAGCACAGACACTTTTTAAATGAATTCTGTCAACTTTCTCAGTTTCATTATTGGCAAAAAAAGGTACATTCAGTCGTTTGAAATATCAGGTCCCGCCATAGGTGGGCATTACTAGGTCCCAAGAATAAATGGACCAGCTCTAAAGGGTTAAGTGGATGATCGGAGTCACAGTTTTACTGCAAGAATCTCCAATGTGTTCTCGCCCTGTCCTGCATGATATGTGAAAGGACGTGATTTTACACGGAAGTGGACATTCCCAATGCGCTGTTGTGAAACGGAGATCGCAAGGCGTTGTAATCATACCTCGTGTGGAGCTACCATGCACAGGCAGCACTGTGTTCAGCTCTTGTAATATCACATATGTTAATTTAACATTATCATCGTTCACGCAATTTGCATGAACGATGCTATAGAAAACAAAACATTGTTATTTCATATAACAGGATCTGTAGGAAGATTTAGAAATGCTACGGTATGTATAAATGTATATAAAGTGTAACGTACGAGGTTCATTGTCAAAAAAACTTCCTCCGAAGTCGGCCAATCGGATGGCTGCCGTGTGGTGATCTTTCACCAAGATGTTTTCCTGAAAGAAATATGAGAATGGAAGCATTTTATATATATGTTATTTAACCAGATGAGGATCCGTTAAAATGATCACTGTCTGCATAGAAAATGGCGTTCATTTTGCACTGTCCATCAAACGTTAAAAGTGTTTATGCATTATCTATGTCCGTTTGTAATGGAGAGGGAAGCAGGGGGATCAATAACTCTCGTGAAAATTATCTAATATGAAATCTTGCAATGAAGTTGTTCATGAAAACAAGACGATTATAATTAGAAGAATTGCCAAACGTCTCTTCTCATCAGCAATAACAGAGTTGTTCCACAATGCAGGATGGTAAAAAAACTCAAATATTACGTATAAGAAGAAAAATAGGGCCACGGATCATTAGTGGTTTTATAGACTCGACACTTCCCCATGTATAATGGGAGTCATGGGTAATATTGTCACGGATAAGAGCTCCACTGTGTGAGGCAGCTGTGATGGGAATTAAACTGGCCAGTGTATGTGCATCATGCAGTGTATGTGCATGAGGCACATAAACTGCTAAATCCACTTAAAAGATCACAGTGAAGGTGCAGCCCTGCAATTACTTGCTCGCCCCTCTACTTATAGAAAAGCCTCCGCCATGGGTAGTTGAAGTGAGCCCCTCTAGATGGTTTTGGGCTACTGTTACACAGCGTCAAATGTCTCGGAAGAAGGGGAAGTACCCACACTTCACCCCGCCACTCGTGACATGATTAACTGGGGAGTACCTATTTATACTGATGGGTGTATAGAAGTGGTGGGTGGGTGGAGTTGGGATTTGAGAACCTGTCCACTGTTATAATTGCCAAGCCAGAGGATCAATTTAACCAATTCCCTCTGGGTTTCAAGTCTCGTGTGAGATCCAGACACCATGACAGCGTCTCTTAGACCTGTTTAATTCCTCTAAAAGAGATATTAATGATAATTGTTTTTTTACCCTTCTATCTGGCAACAAAACTGACGCCTTTTTTTACAAGGAGTCAAAAAAAAGGTGTCAGTTTTGTTGCCAGATAGAAAGGTAAAAAAACAATTATCATATTTTTTACTGGCAAATGAGGTTCCAATGGAGATATTAATGATAAACCCTTACCAGCTTGAGGTCCCCGTGGACTAAGCCGTTCTTCTTCAGGAAGGCCAGCACTTCCATCAGGGGCTGGGCATATCTCTTGACGGAGGACAGAGTAAATGCTCCGTTCGCTTTCAGAACGTCAAAGAGGCTGCCCATGCTGATAACAGAAAACGAACACAGTGCAACATGGTTAAACAGCATGAAGCACAAAGGCACCAGCTCATCCACACATGCAAGTACTGGAACACTGAGGGTGAGGTAAGGCATTCGACGGGTAACAATTACTTGAATACGTGCTGACTGCAGAGTTTTTTTACCACTGGGCATGACTGGGTCCCGAGAATTGACAAACCAGCTATGAAATGGTTAATGCAGCTACTTATCAACAATGCAGTGTAGCATAGCTTAGGATTGAGTACTGATGTGGATCAATCAGCTGCCAAGCTTATATGTGTATACATCCTGCAAGTGTCACGGTTGTAATGGACTTAGTGTTATTACCTGATGTAGTCCAACACGATATAATGGTAATCTCCCACGACAAAGTCTTCCTCGAACCGGATGATGCTATTGTGCCTCAGCAGTTTGAGGAAGACAGCCTCACGATATGCTTGCACTTCCTTGATGCTGCGTGAAGAAATACAAACACTTATGAGAATGTTGGAAATTGCATCATTATTAAAACGGAAAACGTATTGCGTCTTGTCTAGGTAGGCACACGTGAGTTTCTCTGACAGGAAACTACTTTTCAGTGAAGATTGTGAAGCACATCATTACTTGGTCTCTCTCTCACCTTAATGTGATGTCAATCTTTTTGAAGGCCATCTCCTTGTGGTCCCTGTGGTCCCAGCATTTGTACACCTCGCCAAATGTTCCTTCGTCTAGTTTTTCCAAAACCGCATAACGATTGTTGAGGAGATTACTCGCCATCTGGTCAAGAGAGAGTGTTGCAGTAAGAGCAAGATCAATAAGTACAGTGACAGTTTCGATAGTAGCTTCCTAACCCCTCCTTACTCTGAGTGATACAGCAGAAGGCCTACCTCAAAATCAGTTTCAATTAATAATCAATATGAGTTTCGATTTAAAGCTTTCGTGACTGCAGGGATTCATCTCTTGGTTCTTTCGGTAAAGTCACGTAGAAGGGAAGTAATAAAATAATAAAAATAAAACATAATAAAATAAAATATTATTTTTATTATTTTATTACTTCCCTTCTACGTGACTTTACCGAAAGAACCAAGAAGATGAATCAATATGAGGTTTACTCAGCCAAGCATTCTCCTAGGGTTGATAAAATAGGAACCACTTTGTGAGTCGAGAGAGGTTGCCTCATGTAAAGACTGGTCTTGGCCAGAAAAATGTGGATTTGACGGCAATTGCTCATGGCCACACGTGGGGGTTTGTGAGTTTATGTGAACAGACACTTTGATTATTTAAAATTATCCGGGCCTATTAACGGGTTATGACATTAAATTGGCCAAATAAGTGCTCAAATGGTCCTGAACAATTGTTGCACCCAGTCTAATCAATTGTAAGCAAGCACAGCCCTTCAATTGCTTGCTCATATAGCTTATGGTGAAAGGGGCTCCACGGGAGGGATCTCTATCAAGTAGTCTATCTGCTATTTCACGCTAATGAGACGTATTGATAAAGGTGGGAGTGGCCACATTCTACCACATCAAACACGACATGCTGCCAAACTACGAACTGTGGTGTAACATTTTCACTTCTGGGTGAACATTAAATACACCCAAGAGGAGGGCTTCCATGGAGATGGAGCAATGAAATCAGCTCGTTTGTAGATACTAGGTGGATTGTTGCATCGAATGACTTTAGGGAGATAGTAAAGGCTTATCAGACCTTCATCCACCAGTAGATTAATCATGTCTGATAACCTTTATTTCCTTCTTGCAAACATTCTACAAGTTCATGACATTTATCTCCCTTATCTACTTCTCTCATATCGCGAAATAGGTATATCTTACTCGTTGGTTCTTTCGGTAAAGTGACGTAGGTAGAAAAATAATAGATCACGACGTTTCGATCACAATATAAATAAGCGATCGTCTTCAGGAGGAAAGAGGGGGAGGTCACCGAAGGCAACCGTTTTTAAAGGTTTCTAAAAAGTGGGCGTGGCACAAGCGCTGCGGTGGTGGAAGCATGGAACATGCAGTGGCAACAAAACGTCCTGGTGTCAGAACGAAGTGGGCGGGGTATATGTGCCCTGGGGTAAGGTAACATGAAAACACAAATCAAGTCATGACTTGATCTGTGCTCCCTTAACAAGAGAACACAAATCAAGTCATGACTCAACGCGGTTGATGACATCTTTCCAATGATTTCTGAGTTTGTACCCATCTTCTCGGTTGAAATCGTGTCTGTATACAGTATATGGATGGCTTCATGAACGAATCTTTGTTGATAGCCAGTGGGCTTGCAAAGTACCATCGTCTTAGAGATATCAATTTCGTGTGAGCCAGCAACATTAAAATAATGATCAGCCGCGGCAGAAGTATTGGTCCTACCGTGGTTCAGATCTGCCTTATGCTCATGAAAATGGTCCGAGACATGTCGCTTAGTTTCTCCAATGTAACTGCTGCTGCAGACACAGCGTAGTTTGTACACATATGTCAGGGATCTTGTCCTTCAAATATGGGATAAGATCATGAATTTCATGTACTGTGTTAAAACGGACTTGGATCTTGTGTTTGTTCATGATTTTTGAAAAATGTTTGGCTACCCCTGCTATGTATGGTAAGGTGATGGTTTTGCTTTGATCCTCAAATGGTTCCTTCCTCATGGTAGGGGTGATGGCTTTGTGGATTGTGTTGTCATAGTATCCATTCGCCTTGAGAGCTTGGTGTACGTGTTTGAGTTCACTTGTTAGGTGTTCATAGTCGGATAAACATTGAGCTCTATGGTGTAGAGATTTGATGAGGGAATTCTTCCGGGATGGATAGTGGTGGGAGTCAGGTTTTAGGTAGGCATCACTATGGGTTGCTTTCCTGGAGACAGAATGGCTCATTGAGCCATCTGGTCTCTTTTTGATTAGGACATCCAAGAAAGGTAGATTGCCATCCTTTTCTACCTCCATGGTGAATTTGATGGCTGGGTGTATGGAATTTACGTGGTTGAGGAATTGGTTCAGAGCCGATCAGCCATGTGGCCAGATGACAAACGTGTCATCCACGTACCTCTTCCGCAAGGACAGGCGTGGAGTGGATGCCTGGATGGCGTCCGTCTCAAATTTTTCCATGAAAACATTGGCTACAACTGGAGATATTTGAGAACCCATTGGTGTGCCTTCAGTTTGTTTGTAGAATGTTCCATTCCCGGTAAAGTATGTATTGGTGAGGCAGTGTCTCACCAGAGCCAGTACATCAACATTACATCCTTATTGGACCAAATCTTCAATATTTGCAATGGTATCAGGCACAGGAACTTTGGTGACTACATCGAAACTACATCGAAACTGACGAGCAAATCACCTGGGGACAGTGAAATGTCCTTAATTGACGATATGAGGTGAGCTGAGTTAAGTACATAAGAGGTGGTCTAACCAGTAAATGACTGTAAGGTCTCAGACAGATATCGACCCAGTTTGTAGGTGGGTGAGCCAATGGTGGAGACGATGGGACGAAGGGGTGTACCTTCTTTATGGATTTTGGTAAGCCATATAATCTGGGTGGTCAAGCAGCAGAAGGTTTTAAGAAAAAATGTTTGTTTTGTTCAACTAATGAATCTGAATCAGTGATTATACTGTTCATTTTTGAAACGAGGCTGTTGGTGAGATCTTTGAAGTTTTTGTGTAGCTTCCATAATTCAGTAGGTCATGAATTTTGTTGTTGTACACAGTTTTGTCCACTTTACTTTTTTCATATCTTCGTGACTTTATCGAAAGTACGAAAGAATATGAATTCCTGCAGTCATTAAAGTTTTAAGACAAAAGATTCTGATACAGTCATACCTCGGTATACGGCCGCTTTGGAATACGTTGAATTTGGTGCACGTCGTGTTTTGACGAAAACAAAATGTCTTGGGATACGTCGTCTTGCTTGGGATACGACGTCTTGCTTGGGATACGACGCGCTTGCTAGAACTTGTATGGGTCGGGATGAGTCACCACGTACCCGCGTAGAACCCGTTCACGACTGAAACAAAGCGCCGCTCCTCAGTCTGCATGTACAGTAGATCTCGTTCAGTGCACAATTCTTGCTATAACTCTCTGTGAATTTCACGTGTTTTTTGTCATTTTAACTCCTCTCAGCAAGGTAAAGTGACGTAAAAAATGTATTTTTATTCCTATTTATTTGAATTTATTTATGCATTTTAGTACTAAGTAGTGTCTAAAGTATTTTATACAATCCCATTAATGTATAATATGCCATATAAAATATCATTTCATATACTCTGGAACGGATTATTTCCTTTCCCTTTATTTCTTATGGGAAAAATTCGTTTGGTGTACGTCATTTTCGGTCTAAGTCCTACCTTCTGGGACGAATTAACGACGTATACCGAGGTACCACTGTACTTGTAATTTTGGTTTATATCATAGCTTTAAATTTTCCTTAATAAATAAATACAAATATATAGTTTATTACCTTGCGTTGAGAATAAAAAATATCTTGAAGTTTGGGAGACTCGATTTTGCTGCTCGCAGCCGTCGTGGGGACCCAAACGCTCTCCAGGTTGTCGTCACCAATCAGGTTAGTGACGTCAGCTGCACAGCTCCTCCCCCTTCTGGTGTAGCCACGCCCCTCCAGCTATAGCCCCGCCCCTCCAACTGTAGCCCCCCCTCCAACTGTAGCCCCGCCCCTCCAGCTGTAGCCCCGCCCCTCTCACGCCACTCCCCCAACACGGGCCCCGCCTCTATGGTGGCCACTGTCTCTCCCACGGGCACGGCTGCTGTACATTGGAGCCCACGTTCTCTATCCGTGTCCTCCCCACATCTATCCCATCTCCATGGAGAAGCCGGAGCCGTGCAAGAAAGCTCGAGATGTTGCGTGGCGGGGTCCGTCTCCCCCCGTCTCAGCATCGCGTCCGCGGGAATCGCGTGCGCGCGGCCTAGTATTCCGCGGTGCCTACCGCCTTGCCTGGACTCTGCGGCCAGGCAAGGCGCGCGACCTGGTGTGGAAGATATCGGGGAGATGTGCGAGTGTGTGGGAAGTGTTGGAACGGGTTTCGCTTCTCTCACACATCCGTGTCTCTGTGTCGTGAGCTCTCTAACTGGTGCTGCAGGTTATCTTGCTGGTGGCTGTCCTGTACGTGGCAAATAACCCAGCACTGTTATGGTCACTCAAACTTTGTTACTACCTCGTCTGCCGTGCAATATTCATTATACACCCTGAACTCGTTCTCTGCGATACTGATGATGTTGCTGTGTTCACGTACCACGGACCTTGTAAAGTATCCGGTAAGTTGGCTACACGGAATCATTTGTGCAACATGAAATAAAATGATAACTCAAACAAAATTGTCTTGTATCAGAGTTACTTCCTGACAGTGATCTGTTAGGATAGTCCCGAGTGTTGTAGTTTATTTTCACGTGTCTCTGTGTTGCTGTTTGTGGTTCTGTTGTGTTGTGGTGGTTTTGTTGTATTAGGGGCATTTGAGGCTTGGTGGTGTTCATTCGGTGGTGGTGCTGGTCTTGTTCGTGGTGGTCTAATTGTGGAACGAGTGCTGTGGTGAGGTATTCGGTTTGTATTGGTGGTGTTGTGTTGGCGGTGATCGTTTTATATGTATGTGTTGAACTTTTTTCGTTTTGTTGTGTTCGTAGAACAGGCTTCCCCCATTCAGAGCTTTCAAGTATCAGGACCCATGCCAACGATGCTAATGCATTTGTAGTGACTTAACTCGGAGACGCTTAGACTTGGAGGCATTTCTTTAATTTAACCGAGCACCCTTTATATAATACACACGCTACACTGGTCCACACTCTTCTGTCGCTCGCTTATACACAACTCTACGTCGGTTGCTAGCCTATACACAACACTAGCCATCAAACACTGACGGTGCTGAACCGAGACTGCCAACTACTGTCTAGCAACGCAATATCGAGTGAAGACGACAGCGACCATGGCGACGATCTTCAACAACACGACGGGTATCCCACTCCAAATGACAGCCCCGATCTCTCGCTCAGGGCCCCCTTTTATGTTCCCGGTGTGGCCTCGCTCCGCCCCGGCCACGCCCCCTGTCTAGAACTTGCCAGCGGGTTCCTGGGGCTTCCCCCTGTGCCCCCTTCTGTAACCTTTCCCCCAGATTTCCCCCTCTGGTGTATCGCCCGGCCTGTTGTAAGCCACAGATCCCCTTCCCTGCCAGCAGCCAGCGCTATACTGCTAAATTAATTATTCTATGCCACTACACATTGATGCCAGTATTTTGATATTTGTATTCACTTGCATACACCGATTGTACCACAATTACATTACTGTGTGTGTGTACCTGTGCATATGCAGGTCTGTTAACCAGCATTTGTATATTTTACATATTACAAATGCATGATCACAGACTTGTACAGGCATATTCTTGAACCAAGAATATTCTTGAACCAAGAATATGAATCCCTGCAGTCACGAAAGCTTTAAATCAAAATTTGTACAATCATGTTTAAAGAAAATAAACCAAATTAGATCCATTTCGAAACCCACTGTTGTATGAAGACCTCCCCACGCTATGTCGGCCCTAGATCACTATACTTCACCTCGCTGGTCAATGCAGATTGAGAAAGGGTTCCCAAAAACCAGTTCAGATAACCGCTTGCCTCTGATGTCAGTCATGGCCAGAAATCGAACTAAGGTCACCAAATTTATTGCGAAGTGAGCTAACCAATGGAGCACTGCCCAACTCCTTACATTTCTATATGACGTAGATAACTTTATTTATCCAATGTGAGATCAAAGTGCGCAAAGAAGCACGGGGAGGCGACAGACAAATAGGAATAGATGGATCAACGACCGACAGAAAAAGAGGCGTTTACTTGTCAATAATAGAGTTTGTTTTTCATATCAGTTATATTTCACTTGCTTTTATCTTTATCACGTCATGAAATTAATGTACTCTCACAGAGAGCAGTGTACTCTGTTGTGTCAGAAAATAGCTGTGGAAGATGTCAGAATTGGTTCAGAATTTCCTCGAATAATGATTATCCCGTTCAACCAGTTTCCTGGTTATTTTACAAGGGAGATCCATAGAGCAGTGCGCAAGCACAGCAACAACAGAACAAATACGTCAACATTACAGAGAATAAGTACAGGATCCTTAAGGAATATTGCACAACTAACGATTGAGCTATTTGACCTTGGTACGCGAATCAGACGTGAATTAAAAACAGTGCAACTGTAATATGACAAGTTTGATACAGGTGCACATAAGCTTTATTTTCATTTAACAGTGATGTAAAAACAAATCGAAAAAGGTTTATCCATACAAGGGATACCGTGTTAATACCTAAAAAAGTATGAATTGCTTGTTGGTAATAGTTTAAATTTGTCTGTTCAATTAAAATAGATTAAGTGAAACCCACATTTAATTAAAAATGTCTCGCAGTCATTGGTGACCAGGCTGATTATATTAACTCTCTAAACTCGAGGATCTAAATGAACAGTAATATCTTAATCGCTCACTCTTGAAGAGAGAACTACTCGGAGGTGCGAGGAACCACAACTTGGCAAATCAGCCACGGGGGGCGCCTCACGCCCTGCTGACACGTCTTTTCAATTCTAGATTTGAAGCTTTCGTGACTGCAAGGATTCATATTCTTAGGTTTTTTCGGTAAAGTCACGGAGGTAAAACATTAAAATTAATAAAAGTAAAATAAAATAAAAATCACGACGTTTCGGACGCAACACAAGCTTCCGTCTTCAGGTGGAACCGTCACAGCCCGACAGCTGTATCAAGCAAATGAGAGATTACAGGAGAAACCACTCCGTATATATAATGGTTGAGGGGGGGGGGGGGGCAGGAATGGCCCACTTTTTATTATTATGGTAAGGTTCGGTTTGAGACTATGAATAGACTGCATAACAAAAGACTGAGCCTTTATTATGGAGAGGTTCGGTTTGTGACTACGCCTAGCCTACATAATAAAAGTGTGAAAAAAGAAAGCTAAACCTGGTAGAAAGCTAAACCTGGTGAAACAACTGGCTGTTCATCAGTAACCTGCAATAGTTTTCTGTCAAATAAGGTGGTTCAAATAATTGTAGTTAAATTTTTTTTGCATGGTTAATCACATTTTTTCCAATGATTAAAGGTGCGGCTTGAGACTATGAATAGACTGCATAACAAAAGACTGAGCCTTTATTATGGAGAGGTTCGGTTTGTGACTACGCCTGGCCTGCATAACAAAAGTGTGAAAAAAGAAAGCCTAACCTGGTAGAAAGCTAAACATGGTAAAACAAAACTGGCTGTCTATCAGTAACCTGTAATAGTTTTCTGTCAAATAAGATGGTCCAAATAAGTGTAGTTAAATCTTTTTTGCATGGTTAATCACATCTTTCCAATGATTACTCAGTTTGTAACCATCATCACGGTCGAAATTATGTCTGTGTTTGTATATTTGTATGGCTTCGTGTACAAACCTTTGATGGTAGCCAGGAGGTTTGCAGAGAAGCTTGGTCTCGGAAAAGACAATTTCATGAGAGCCCACCGAGTTGTAGCAATGATCGGCAACGGCCGAAGAATCAGTCCTGCCGTGTTTCAGATCTGACTTGTGCTCGCGGACACGATCAGAATCATGACGTTTCGTTTCTCTAATGTAGCAATCACCACAAATGCAACTCAATTTGTAGACTCCAGGGTACTGTAAGTCAGGAACGACATCCTTCACAGATGGAATCAGATCACGGATTTTATGCACTGTACTGAATCGGACTTGGATCTTATGTTTGTTTAGAATTTTGGAGATCTTTTTGGTCACGTCTGCTATGTATGGTAACGTGATAGTTTTGGTCGGAGTTTCATGTGGCTGTTTCTGTGTGGTGGGAGAAATAGCTTGGCGGATAGTGCGGTCAGAGTATCCGTTCATCCTGAGGGCCCGATGTACATGTCTTAATTCACCGGCCAGGTGGTGTTGGTCAGAAATGCCATGGGCTCTGTGGTATAGCGTTTTGATGAGAGAATTATTTTGAGATGGTTGGTGGTGGGAATCCGGTTTCAAGTAGGAATCTGTGTGGGTGGCTTTCCTGTAGACAGAATGTCCCAAGGATCCGTCAGGCCTCCTCTCAAACAGAATATCCAAGAATGGTAGTTTACCGTCTTTCTCTACTTCCATGGTGAATCTGATGGATGGGTGTCTAGAATTGATGTGGTCCAAGAAGTGGTTCAATGCTGGTAGGCCATGTGGCGGTTGAATTTAGAAATTGATAACATGACTTCTGCTTCTGCTGACTCAATGTCAGCCAAATGCAAAGCTATCCTGATTTCTAAATTCAACCTCCTATCTAAGAAGAAACCAGAGCCACACATCGCAAAGCTGGATGTTAACAAGACCGTGATTAATCAGAGTAACATCACAATTTCTGACAATCTAAAAACGGTACTGGCCAAAGGACTAAATTTCGCCATCACCCCTAAATATATGCCAGTAGAGGATATGATTTCTCAGATTGTTGTAGCCCTCAGATGCATAGGACACATCCATGCGGATGTAGCAAGAGCTGAAATAGCTACTATTATTAAGAATGCTAAGAAACCCACTAGTAACATCAGCA